TAATATGCTAATGTGCTGCTCTGTTAGGGGTGTGGCCTAATATGCTAATGAGTTACTGCTGTTGGGTGTGGCCTAATATGCTAATGAGTTACTGCTGTTGGGTGTGGCCTGTTATGCTAATGAGTTCCTGCTGTGCTTTTTCTACCAAAAAAGAGGCCCTGATTAAAATAAATAAATAGCCAGGGCTGACCCGGCTTAGTCTTCGAGATCCAGGGGTCATTTCATAGAAAAAGAGCTAGGGGAACTCATTAGCATAACTCATTAGCATATGCCACACCCCCTGACATCAGGGGCCCCGGCGGTGGACCTGCAAGGCCGGCGGGAGTGCGAGGAAGCCCCGCGAAGGCCCTCCCTGGCCCCAGGCAGGCAGGGGTGGGGAGAGGCGGAGAGGAAGCCACTTACCCTCCCTCTTCTCCTGCCTCCTCCTGGCTGAATGAGGGCTGGAAGCAGGGGGCGGGGCTTCGTCATGTGCCCCGCCCCCTGTACCTCACCCAGGGGAACTGTGTTCCCCCACGTTCCCCCCCAAAATGACCTCTGCCGAGATCGGATGAGATCAGGCTGGCCTGGGGCCACCCAGGTCGGGGTGAAGATGAACAGAGGCGGTTTTGCCATGGCCTGCCTCTGCATAGCAACCCTGGACTTCCTTGGCAGGCTTCCATCCATTCAAGTGCTGACGACTACTTCGCTTCTGAGATATGACGAGATCGGGCTAGCCTGGTCCATCGAGGTCAGGGCTCCTCCCTTCTACCCCGTGCATTTAAGGAAACCAAGTCTCCCACCTGCTCTGCGATTTGCCGCACCGAGTCCAACTTGATGACTTTGGCAGATCCTCCTTCTCTGGAGACACTCCCTAACAAGAAAGAGAGAAGAGAACGCTTCAGCATATACAGCCCTGCAGGTGAGGAACTCTGCAAAACGGTCCCTGGGTTCCTTGGGGAAATGGGGAGGGGGGGGTGTCACCGATGCGTAGCTTGGGGTCAAGGGAACACCCACCGGCGATCTCAAACTGATCCGGCATCTCAGCACTCAACTTCTGCATGGCGATGTCAGCGATGGGGCCCAAAATCACCACGGGCCGTTTAAAGGTTGCTGCGGGGAAGGAGACGGTACACAAGAGAGGTCAGCCATGAACCTTCTGGCTCCTTCAAAACAAGATTACGTTTCTAGCCCATATGGAGGGAGGAGCGAGAAAAAACATCAGAAGAGCCCTGCTGGATCAGACCAACAGTCCCTCTAGTCCAGCATCCTGTCTCACACAGTAGCCAACCAGTTCCTCTGGAGGGCCAATGACAGGGCACAGAGGCCAAGGCCTTCATAAAAACATCAGAAGAGCCCTGCTGGATCAGACCAGTGGTCCATCTACTCCAGCATCCTGTCTCACACAGTAGCCAACCAGTTCCTCTGGACGGGCCAACAGCAAGTTGCCTCCTGGCTCTGGGATTCAGAGGATTAGTGCTTCTGAAAGTGGAGGTTCCCCTAAGTCACCATGGCTAGTAGCCACGGATAGACTTATCCTCCATGAATCTAATCCCCATTTACAGCTGTTTATTCCCATGGCCATCATCAACACATCCTTTGGCAGCAAATTCCACATTTTAATCACTCTCTGTGTAAAGTAGTATTTCCTTTTGTCCATCGTGAACCTACTGCCCATCAGCTTCATGAGATGCCCTCGAGGTCTAGTATTTTGGGAGAGGGAGAAAAAAGTTCTCTTTGTCAACTCTCTCCACCCCGAGCATAATTTTATAAACCTTTCTCATGCCCCTCCTTAGTTGTTCCTTTTCTAAACTGAAAAGTCCCAGACGCTTCAGCCTTAAAGGTGCTCCAACTCCCTAGTCATCTTGGTTGCCCTCCTGAAAGCTCCCAAGAGGCACCTCTCCTCTTTTCCCAAACTAAAAGGGGAGCAGATACAACCTCCTTGTCTCTTGGCTGGAGGTAAAGTCCTTACACAACCAGAACTCTTGCATCGTCTGCTGGTTTCTGTACCCCAAAGCAACTTCCACAATACAAAGGAATTTTAAGGAATGCATATTTTGCAACAGGAGAAGGAAGAGGAGGAGATTTGATTTATAGGAGTCTCAGAGCTGCTTACAAACTCCTTTCCCTCCCCCTCCTAACAACAGACACCCTGTGAGGTAGGTGGGGCTGAGAGAGCTCTGACAGGAACTGCTCTTTTTCAAGAACAGCTGTGACAGAACTATGGCTTGCCCAAGGTCATCCAGCAGGTGCGAGTGGAGGCGTGGGGAATCAAACCCGGTTCCCCCAGATTAGAGTCCGCGCACTTAACCACTACACCAAACTGGCGTATAACACCTGCAGATTTCAAGTGGAATTCGTGGCCTCTTCAAAGCTATTTCTCCACTATGACGGCTGGACTTCTCCCTCCTACTGTTACCCCCCCCTTGGAGCCCCCACCTTCCTTGAGCATGACCCTCTCGTAGGGCGGGTAGTGGCCTTGCTTGGTGAGGAGAGAGAGGTCCTCCCGGCTCTTCCGCAGGGTCTTCTTGGCCCCCCGCAAGCCCCGCAGCTTCCAGAACTCGGCACGGGCCCCCGAGGAACTGAAGGAGCCAGATGTGGCTTTCAGGACGCCCTCCAGACTGGCGATCTGCTCCGCTCTGGAACGCAAGCCAAGAGCGTTGGATGGGGGTGGGGGAGCCCAAACTTGAGGGCCCCCAGACATACCAAACAAGGCACAAAACAGAGAAAGGCAGAAGAGCCTAGCAAAATCCCCCAGCTTTCATTAAAAGAAAATTAGAAAGGGAGGAGGAGGAAGACACTGGATTTATACCCCGCCCTTCACTACCCAAAGGCGACTCACAGCGGCTTACATTCTCCTTTCCCTTCCCCTCCTCACAACAGACACTGTGTGAGCAGTGTTCCCTCTAAGCTGAATTAGTCAACACTGATGACAATATAACTGATTCAGTGGTAATAGTCTTATATGTTGCCATTTTTATACGAAGCAATATACTGTAACCTTGGTATATTTTAATATGTGATCAATTTTTATGTTTAGCTCTTTTATGCATTTGCTCAATGTTCTCCCTTTTATAACGCCAAATAACAGGGCTATTTTTGGGCAGGAACGCACAGGAACAGAGTTCCGGTTGGCTCCCAAGTTGGCCACTCATTAGCATAATAGGCCACACCCAACAGCAGGAACTCATTAGGATTGGCTACATTAGAGGTGTGCGGCCTAACACGCAAAGGCGTTCCTGCTACAAAAAAAGGCCCTGGGTTTTGACAACAAACAAGGGAAACAGAATAACAAGCAAAAGGTGGGTGTGGCTGGATGAGCACACTTCTGGTAACATGTGGGTGCGGCCTAATGTGCCAATGAGCTGTGCTGTCAGGGGTGTGGCCCAATATGCTAATGAGTTCCTGCTGTTGGGTGTGGCCTATTATGCTAATGAGTTCCTGCTGGGCTTTTTCTACAAAAAGAGCCCTGCCAATAAAGATATGATGATGATGAGCTGGGTTAGTGTGAGCTGGCTCACAGTTTTTTAGCCTCCGGCTCACACCTTTTCATCTTCGCCCAGGGAGGGTGGCTCCAGAGCAAACTGATTCATGCGGCAGCCCAATCGCTCGCTCACACAGCTTTAGTGCCGGTAACTCGCAAAGTAGAATTTTTGCTCACCGGACTCCGCAGCTTAGAGGGGAGCATTCCGGAGCCCTCTCCCCCCCCCAACACCACCCCCATACCTGTTCTTATTTGGGATGATGCCTTTATCCAGCTCCTGAAGCTCCTTTCCCATCCGTACGGCCAGCCAGCTCCCCATTTTGCCCCGGTACAAGGTGTCCAGCACATGGAAGACCTCGCCGCGGGTGAAGCTCAGCCCAGAAGGGGCATCCTTCTCGAAGTCGAAGTGGGTGCGGATGTAGAAGGAATCCCCCACGCTGGACTTGATCATCTTCCTGTAGACTAGGGAAGGAGATGGCGTTCTAAGGCCTGAAGCACACGGACCGCACGGAATGCCTCGCGACATACTTGCCCTCGCACCCGTTAAGGTGCCACATTCCCATCACCGAAGTGTAGTATGAATGGGAATATAAAGA